GTGCAGCAGCTCTGTGATCAAGGTCACATTATCAGCATAGGAGTGAGGTGGGGGGGAACAAATGGGAGGAGGGGAGAAAGGGGGGGGGGGGCAGAAAGACGGGTGCAGGGGTACAGTCATGAGTAAATTGCATGCCAACATTGGCAGCCAGCAGCGATCAACTCATCAAATGACAAGAACCACCGATGTCGGCACTCAATTCTTTTGAAAAACTATAAGTTCTATAATACGCCATTCAAAACGAAGGATATCTTCTCCCACGGGATTATTTACTTGCTCTTTGCACACCAATCAGCGGTGACTTATGGCACTTCCTGTCCTTGCCCTCATGATCTCTGAGTGGATCTCTTCACTTCCCTCTCTCTGTAATGTCCAATTAATCAAGTAGGCCAGAGGGGCAGAGCGAGAGAGAAGGAAACATGTGATGAGGATGAGAGGAGATAAAGGTAGGACACGTGTGAGTAGGAGGGAAATTAAGTTGTGTGTGAAAGGGCGGGGGGGTGGGGTAGGAGAATAAAAGGCAAAAGGCAGTTTTTACTAGAATATATCAATATTGCGCTTTCTAACCTTTTGTGTTAATATCTTAATTAATAACAGAGGAAGGATGAAAGGAACTAACTTAACTTAAAACTTTAAACAAATGAGTCCTCGATCTGCTGATGAAGACCATGTGACACGTTTGAAAGCTACGCACCGAGAGAGTCCTGTGTGCTGTGTGTGCTTACAGCCCCATGACAGTCCATTCAATAGCATCAGTCACAGTCGATCTATACAAAGCCTGAAGCAGATTGAATTCCTTGCTTTAAAATGCGGCACTGATCGATTGACAACCAACATCGGTCATTATAGTCATCTAATTAGACGTTTGTTGGTTGTTGCACACCGACATGACTTAAACTGGTTCTTAAGACAACAATGCTAGAATGTGAACTTCATTCTGATAACGAAACTAATCATTTGATGGTTCCAAAAAGTTGGTGCACTATTTGTTTTTTTAACTGCTCCTCAGGATACATCCTAAAAAAAAATAAATCACAAATTCCAGCTTAAGGAAAGAGTGTTCACAGACACACAGCTGGCTTTAGAAGATTGAAAAAGGGTGTGCTTCAAAGTCACCAGGATTACCGACATTTAGCTTTCTAGTCCTTTGTGATGAGTCGCCATCACGCATCCCAGTAATTTTCACTCTTTTCTAGGATGTCAGCTTGCTGATTACAACAATTAGCATTGTCACAGAAGAAAGGCACGATTAGGTGCTGTGGGGGCACAGCATTGTAGAGATACAACAGCTGTGAAATAACATATTCATTAAGAATCTAGTTCACAGCAAATGGAGCGCTGTTGGCATTTAATGAGAAGACACCTTTTACACTGTATCTGACTTCTAATATAATACTGTAGAACCTCAGGGGGAATTAAGGGAAGTGATCCTAATTTAATCCCTGTAATTTCTCTAATTTTCTCTTTAAAGCAGAAGCCCTGAAGACATTTTTGGACAGGCGGATGAAGAGACGAGAAGGGAAAAATGGTTGTTCGGTGAATTCAGCAGTCAGCATTTCAGTCCCCTTGATGCTTTCTAGGAGAAGAACTAAACCCATCTTTTCTCAGGTGGGCTCACAGTGATTGAATTAAAAGGCTTCAATTTAGGACAAATTTGAACTAGGGCCTGTTATCACACATTTTGGAGGGCTGCTTAGCAATAAAATGTAAAGCCTCAGCAGTCTCTTTTTCTGTTGTCAGCAAAAAATAAAAGGAAAATACATCTGTATTGCTCCAAAAGTGATTTAATTTTAATAATTCTGGAAACTTGACACTGTGTTACGAGTGCAGTGACGTGTGGTGTCGGAAAGTGCAAAACTTGCATTTTATAATCACAGTTTCAAATATACATCAGTTCCATATTATTAAACAATATGAGACAATCTTTCTCAGAATAAGCTAATGTGAAACACTTCAGGGGGCTGAAGCCGAAAATAGATGTTAAAAAAAATCAGTTTGACGTTAGAAGATTGATAGCACTTTTATATTTTATGGTAAATAGGCAATATACCAGTCGGTTAGCTTAGCTTAGCATAAAGACTGGAAACGGGGGGGAAAACAGCTAGCCTGGCTCTGTCCGTAAGGCAAGCTTATATCTGGCACCGCTTAAGGAGCAAACCTGGGTCACAGTAAGAATAGAATAAACTGCAGCTACTCACTGGCACTGGAGGTGGGACTTGCACAGTGATGTCGTCAGTGTCCACGGGGGAGTCCAACCACAGCCTTTCATCGGAGGACTGACTGTCAGGGTAGCCTTTTCTTTTGCCTGGCTGCGACAGCTGACTCTTGGATCTCGTGGGTATACGTTCCAAGTCTTGGTTGTCTCCATTCTGCAGTAAAGGAACATATTGTTCGAGCGGGACTGGTAATTCTTTGGGGAGAGGTGCGTGGGCCACATTAACAGGCACATGTCCCTCTGGAGTGAAATGTGAGGGAGATATTCACCTTATCTGATGAGTACTTCCACAGCTCTACACTGTCCATGCTCTTTCGCTTGGTGAATTTGGGTCTTGCTCCTACAGTAAGAAAAAACATAAGAAAATAAAAAGCTTATTAAATAACATTAAAACAACTCATCCCACAACTGAAGAATTCTTCAAACACAATTAAATCGAGCAATTCTCGGGTCAGCATCGGTCCCATGATGTTCGGTGTGGGTATGAGGTTTAGGTAGACAACCAAACGATCTGAATGGGAGTCTGTTTGCCAGCTCCGCACCGGGGAGTGAAATGTAGGACATGGGTGTAAGCTTCTGCCCGGAAGAGGGTTCATGAAAGCAAACATAACACAAAAGCCAGGCTGACTACAGAGAAAGACACGCTTCATTTTCTATGTATCAAATGCTCCTTATCAGCTGGTGGGGATTTATAATAATCAAAGTCAAGAATTTTAATCTCTGTACACACCCATTACTTTGTTTCACATTTCACCTCAGTTCATTAAATGGCCACCTTGTGTACACATGCAGTATTCCGGATAGCTTGCTCAAGCACACACATTGTGAAAAGTGCAGAAACTAAAAACTATTGCTGAATAGATTTTAGAGTCTCCTAGCTGCAGTTTTAAGGTGATGAATTATTGCTCAACCCTTAGTCAAATTTATAGATTTAAATTCTTAATATAAACAATGTCGTAGAGCTTGAAGGATATTATTTTTTTGTTCCTATTTCTGTGAGATGGGAGGGCAAGTAAAGCTTCAAGACAGCTTCCCCTAACCAGTTTGCAGAGTGCAAATTAGACCTTTACACTCACATTCACACACACAAACACAAATACAAGCAAAGCTCTCGTGCGCTTTGACGAAGGAAACAGAGTAACTTTCTAAACATACTGTATAGTTGCATATTTGGGACATTTAGCCTGGTCTGTGTAAAACCAAATGGACATTGCCTCTCTGCCCGTCACATTGTCTGAGCATGTAGAATTATTGTAACTGACATTTTCATGAGAAGAGGTTTCAAGTATAATTCCATTTCTAACATTCAATGGAGAGCATATTCTCTTAAATCAGACTCTCCCTCTCAGTGAATTTGTACGTGTGTGCACTTTTGTTTAAAAAGGAAAAGCTCAACATTTTTGGGAAATACACTTAAGAGATTAAGATCTTGTCTGTTTCTTAAATATGAAGCTGCAGCTAGTTAGCTTAGCATAAAAAATGGAAACAGGGGAAAAGCTAGCTCGATTCTGTTTGAAGGTAAAAAAACCTGCCTACCAGCACCTCTAAAGCTCACCGTTTACCTTATTATATGTCGTATAAAAAGGTAAAAATAACTTGTAGTGTTACCTTGCATCTCAAACTCTGAACTGGAAGGTGAAAGGTCGCTCTCATTGACCCCCAAAGCCTCCATCAGCTGCTCCACATTCAGTCTGGCTGTCAGTTCCCCATTTCTGTCTCCAATCTGAGGAAGAAATTCAGAGGCAGAGACAAAGAGACAAACGGAGCCAGATGAGTCAAATTAGGTTGAATGCAAGGAGTCTCAATATACCAAAGAAAAAATAATTACAACACTAAAAAAAAATAAAAAAACAAGTCTCACTTCTTGAGATATGTCCAGATGCTTTCGGGCATAGTGGAGAGCTTGTTTGTGGTTCTGTAGAGACACGTATGCATTTCCTAGACTCCAGCAGGCCCGGCCCTCACCAACTCTAATGAGACATGAACACACGGACAAATGTTTAAAAAAAACTAGTCCTTCGCTAGGACGTGCACGTCTGTGTGCATGCATAGATAAGAGGTGTGGCTCGGTCTACCTATCGGTAAGCTCCTGGGCTATGTACAGGTGTTTCAGGTGGTAGTCTATGGCCCTCTCGTACTGCTGCAAAAGAGTGTAGGTGTTTCCAAGACTGTAACAGGCCTGAGCCTCCATCACCTGGTCCCTCAGCTGCCTGGACAGCTGCAAAGTTTTCCTATAGACAAATAAACAGAGGAATGAATTGAGTGAAGGAAACACTGAAGATTTAGAAGGTAACATAGAATGAAAATATAGTCTCAAGAGCTTTCTTCTTTTTGTCATTTTTAATTTGTACTTCAGTCAAAATTTTTACTTTTGCTGAAACTGCGTCACTTCACCTTCCCTCCACTAGATGGCAGACTCTCCTCTTTCCTCACCTGTAGTATTCGGTGGCTGTGTTGAACTGGCCCAGGAATATCAGGGCATTGCCGAGGTTACTGTAGGCTCGCCGTTCTGCTGCTTTGTCCCCAAATTCTTTGGCTATGGATAATCGCTGTGAGTGACAAGAGCAGGGAGGTCAAGTCAAACTAAAGTAGCACAACATCTTAAAACATGCCTCTTAATTATAGCAGCTAATTTGTAAACTACTCAAGTCATTTCAGCTTACTTTGCCCCATGTTCTTTTTACACAATGCACAAGCAGAGGCTATAACACAAGTTCATGTTGAAAGCTCTGATCCCATGAAAGAGCACACGAGAGCACACGATCCCATGAAAAGATGTGCTGCTGCAGCAGCAGTGGTGGTGGTGCATCAAATCAGCTCCTCCGAATCCCTTGAAAGGAAGTGTGCTCTCTACGGCACAATGATAGATTTGTAATGGGGAAGAGATAAGAGGCCGGCTTCTCCCATGAGGAAAAAAAAAAAAGTGGTTTACAATGAAGAGTGGCAGAAAACATGGGGAGCGTGAAGCCATGCCTGTGACTGATTCTCCAAGAAACCAATTTCCTCCATTTTTTTTTTTTTTTCCAATGAGAGGTCATCAATCTCTGCACACTGTGTTGCTTCAGGGTGAGGTGGATCGTGATCCACTGGAAAGCTCACCACGGTGTTATTTACTCGCAAGAGAAGCGAGGACCAGCATGAGCGATCATCTCACGCGAGCGTCCTACAGGAAAATAACAGGTTTCAATGAAACACTATATTGTCTTTAGCCTCTGTCCCTCTGTCCTTTCACTCACTGCCACCCCATGCAATCTCCACAAGTCTGCTATTAGTACCAATTCAGAAGGTAATAGGTACAATACAATGACACAAGTAAGTACCTCCTTCACTCTCAAACTGGCTGTGCATTGGAGGCTGCTATTTTGCATGTACAATTTCTAGTCAGATGGAGGTCTGTGCAAAGCAAACTCGGTAAGATCTTTTCTCTGCAGCAGGCAAATGCACAGTAGCCTGCTTCTTCACCCGGGAAGTAATTACTTGTTTGCTTCTGGGGCTGCACGTCAGATGCACGCGCAAGAGGGTGAACGCGATCACCACCAAAGTCTGCACATTTACTGTGTGGAACTGTGGCTGCAGGGAGGACGATCCCTGGCTTGGATGTCATAGCCACACAGCATGTGCACAAGCCACCAGAACACCAGCAAACCACATTTTGTCGTGCATGTTAATGGTTTGGACAAGGCCAACCAAACATGCTGTCCATAAAACAGGAAGATGTGTTTATGTTCACAGGAAACCTGATCTAAAGCAAGGTCACTGCTCTGTACTGGCACAACACCAAGGCCGACAACTCTTATCTGGTGTTATTAACATGATGCTGGTCACCATCGTGACTTACCTGACGGTGGAACTTGATAGCTTCGACAAAGTTTCCCAGCAGGTAGTGGGTGTTGCCCAGGTTCCCATAGGCCCTCCCCTGAGCCGCACGGTCTCCGAGTTCTTTGACCAGACACAAGTTCATCCTAGAGACAAAAGTACACCCATTTAGTAGCAGTATGGAAATTACATTGTGTTAACATTACACAATATCAAAATACAAGTCTATAATATACTTATAAATATTGGTAAACAATGGTATATGTTTATTATGATTAGTTATGAAACACAATAAATGCTTACTGTTTTTATTTTTTGCATATGAAACAAAAAATGATATTTAGCCTGTAATATGTAGCATGTACGAGTCCTCTCTTTCACCTTTGACAGTTTCTCTGTTTGATGTTAACTGCTCCCTTGTTGGTAAATGGCTTTAATAGGGTCTCCTCCACACGATCCACAAAATAAAGTGTACTATATTTGTTGCTCTTATTTACTACCATCATTTATTCTGTAATGTATTCCCTCTTTTGTCCACCCAAGACTGAGCAACCCAAGGATAAATCTGAGCAAATCTGCAGTGCTCTTCAGCTGTGAGGGGAGATCTTGTCAAAAGAACAGCAGTGTGTAGTGTTTCACAAAACTGGGCTATGAGGCAGATTGGCCTGAAGGAACCGCTTTTAACAGAGAGGCGTACATGAGCCTGGGGTTTGCCATGAGGCATTTGTAACACAGAGCATGGAGTCAATTCTGTGGTCTGATGAAAAAAACCAGAAATCTTATGCAACAATGTCGAGTAACTTTTTGTCGAATACCGACTCATCTTATCATGAATTTGGTTTGACAGTGGCAGCTCTCTGTGCGGTTGCTTTCAGGCATCGGGGACTGAGGGGGTTGTGAAAATAAATGGGACAATGAATCGAGGCAAATTCAAGTAAATGTTATGCTGTGTATATAAGTGAGCAAGATCTCAGGAAATCAAGTCAGGACAAGAATTGTGAAATTGAATAAACACATCAAGATGTGCCCCGCAGGAACAGATGCATTCAAGAATAATGTTCGGGATATTAACTGCCAAAGGAGAGTCAAAGCAGGGATCAAATTAGTGATATTTCCGTATGTATTTTTTGGAAAAGCAAAATATTCTAAATCCATCAATATTGTGGAGTTTTAACTCCATTTTGTCACCAAGTAATGCTGTTAAGCTTACTTGTCTGGGCTCCCACTGTGATTTAGATTGTCTGTATTATACCATCTGTGTATGAGTTCACGACTCAACATACTCATAAAAGCCGGTAGCCCTTTGCAGAGTGTCTCTGACATCCGGAGGCAGGTCCCCTGGTTCCTGGCTGCAGCCCCATAACTGCTGTTTGCCCTTCGCATGAAACACGTTGCCGATGTTATACAGTGCTCGGGCCTCTCCGACCTGCAAATCACACAACGCAACACAAACGACACAACACGAAAGAGAAAGGTCAGACAAACTGAGAAAGGCTGCTTAAAGACCCAGCTCTAGACCCACAGTGACACGTGTCACTGTGGGTCATTTTTCTGTTCATTTATTTTTTGATTCCAGATGATTGTTTGTGCTTAAGCATTAGACAACATTATCACAAACTGAATGTGATGTTTGTACATTAACGAGACTTTATAAATGAAATAAACAAGCACGCATGTTACCTTGTCTCCCTGCTCTTGAGAAATATCCAGGTGTCTTTGACAGCACACCACAGCCTCATCAAAGCGCGCCAACACTTTCAATGTGTTACCAAGGTTGCCACTGGCCTTTCCTTCTCCAATTCTGTCTCCTATTGTTCTGAGAAAGAACAAAAACACACATTTTTGATATTCCCTGGTGGGAGCTACAGCTTTTTTGTTTAATGTAAACATCACTTAGCTAAACAACATCCATTAAGGTTGTGTAAAAAAGATTTAATTAGGAGATGCTGTACAGTACATTTTCAATCGGTTGCTTACTTATAGGTCCAGGTCCCAGTGGCCCTGGTGAGACTGTAATGTGACTAAGTGAATCCTCCTGAGGTCTTTGATTAGTTCCCTGCTAAGAAGAAACAGCTGCACTCACTGCAGGGGACCACATTACTCAGGAAAGCTAAATATCCAGCTGGTATGGTCGACTGTTGCTATTAGAAAGTCCCCTCACTTTTTCATTGTCTAACTCAATGTCAATAGACTGAAATCCTTAAAACTCTTTAAGCATCTGGTCTGGACATGAAATGGCAGAATCATTATAGAGAACTCTGAATGCATAAATGAGTCGACTCCTGATGTGAATAACTATAACACAGCTTCAAAGTTTTCTTTATTAGCCAAAATCCTATTATCAGTTTCCTAATTGAATTGCAATCAGGCTACAGAGCTGTCCACTCTATTTCAGTGCCTGATAAGTGCTTTAAGCCACCAAATATGCATTCAGTGCCTCATAAACTTCACTTTCTGTCTGGGTTTCATGTGGTTTTGAATGCTGGGATAAACATATACCGGCTTTTCTCCAAGACGGGAGAGAGAGAGAGAGAGATTTGTAAAAACAAAATACGGATGTTTTTCTGTTGATCATGGCGAGTCAAATTACAGGCAAATTTTCAAACACCTAATATCTGACTGGATGAAAATACCTCTCAAATCAAAATTAAAAAAGTGAAACTTTGCAGATTTTCAACCGCTTGATGATGTGAAATGTGTATCGCTTCATAAATGTAAAGCAGGTTGGTGGGAAATTATCAAGGCCCTATTAAAGCCAATGTTTTAACGATGGAGCTGTTAACATCAAATAGATAAACATGAATACAAGGTACATAAAACTATCTAAATCAGTCATTTTTGTTCAATTATATGCAAAAAGAAATACAGTAACTAATACTATGCAGTAGGTAGCAGCTATTAAAATGAACAACGCTCACCTGGCCAAAGTGAGGTCGTGTTTGTGGTACTCCAGGGCTTTGCCGTACTCTTTGAGGTAAAAGTAGGCATTGCCCAGCTGGCTGTAAATGGCACTGAGGGTCTTCAGGTCATCCGTGCCGACCTGCACGGCTGCCTCAAAAAACGCTGTCCCCCCTTTAAAGTCCCCCGCCTTGCACAGCCGCTCTCCTTCCAAGGCCAACTCCAAGCAAGAGGCCTCCATCCTTAATGGTGTACACACACACACACACACACACACACACACACACACACACAGGGAAAGACAGAAAACGTGATCAATCAGAGATAGAACAACGTGTTACTTTTTTGTTTTTCTCTCCTGACTCGTACCGAATAAGAGTTGTATCGTGATATTGACACTTTATTATTGTGGCGGTGCAATGTCTTCTCAGGGTGAGGAACAAATTGCCAGTGTCACCATGACAACAAGGTCTGTAGCCAAATCTATGGACTGTTGCATTAGCAACTGAGTTCAAGGCTTGAGGGATGAGCACCTTGAAATAGGTGTTGCACTTCTTTCTATGAAAAGATATTAAGAGTAACTCATGAACTGATATTGTTCGTTGTCAGATGCTGGGCACAAAAATATACAATTTGTTCAAAATAAATCAGAAAGCAGGCATGATGTGAGAGGAATTTCAAGAGGAAAACAAAATCATGTGCCAAAATATTGATGCATTAAGCCAAAAATGTGTGTGGGACCATAAGACATGTACCGTGTGTACTACTACGCATTCCTCACACACACACACACACACACACACACACACACACACACACACACACACACACACACACACACACACACACACACACACACACACAACATGCAGAACAAGGCCTCGTCAGTGAGTTTCATCCAGAAAGTATACACCCCGGGTTCTTTGTATAATCCAGGATAAACTAGAGGCCAGCCGATTTGGCCGTAGCTCTAAATTCCAGATACGGTACTAGAATTTAAGAGTTAAGCGAGGATTATCCTCAAATCTAATCGGTTTTACGAATGGCACCATTGAAAAAGTATAGCAAAGAGATACCGAGTGCCATATGTAGTTTCATCAGCAGCTTTAGTAGAAAACTCAAAGCGTCCACTCGTTTCAGAGGTGCATTGAAGAAACACTCCACCTCTTTACACTCCTGCTCTGTCATTTCTCCATTTACACTGGTCAGGGCCTAATCTTATTTTGTATATCCATTTACATGATATTATATTTATTTACATTACCAACATGATCGTCTTGGTCAAATGTATTTATCTCAACTTGACCTGATCTAAAGATCAGCGTGCATCAAGGTCATTTGGTTTGCAAAACCTTGCTTGCCAAGCAACGAAATCCCCACATGACCGTGGTCCTTTTGCAGTGTTCAAGCAGTACCTGTGTTTTTGCTTGCTTCGTGTTTTGTCCACAAACACCTGCAGCTCCAAGTGCAACGGCCTCAGCATAGCCTGAGGTCTGGGTCCACAGTGGACCAGTCTACACACGGCTCTCTCTGCTCCAGACAGAGGGCACGGCTCAGCTGCCATGAGGGCAAAGGGTTGACAAGCTATGGTCAAATAACTGTGAGAGATGAAGGCCACTCAAGCAGTGCAGTTATCATTGATAGTGCAGTGCTGAGATGTTAAGTGATACCAGCTGATGTAGCTAATTTCTCCGTGTTGTCCACTGAATAACTTAAAAAATAAAAAATGTCAGCAATGTTGCAGCAAACCTGGACGCAACCCAACTGGATTTTCTAGACCCAGCCAAAAAAAAAAAAAAAAAAAAAAAAAAAAAAAAAAAAAAAAAAAAAAATCACATCTGCTTTCCAAGTCTTCGAGAACATTCCAAAAACTCAACGATGAACCCTCTGATCCCACAGCCGAGCCAGTCGAGAAGGAATTTTAGAGAATCCCACGAAAGAGCAGTTCCAGTCACGGTTGTGTTTATTAGCAAAAGCATGTTGATTTAACAGATTTTAGGGCGTTTCACTAATCCAACTGAATTTAAAATCAAGACGTTTTCCCCGTTGCTGTAAAGTCATTCAGTTCTCACAATCCCCCAACAAATCGTCCCTTTGCATCCTCTTCAACCTGTCCTCAGCTGTGACAGCAAAGATCCATTGTTCTGACTTGCCATAACAAGCCACGCTTTGAAAAGAGGGGGGGGAGAGAGTGTGTAGTGCAGGGAACAATTTGGGTGAGAGCAGGCCGACAGTCAGGGGACGGCAAAGCCAGTGCAATACTTCTAAGCTTGACCATTGCTCCAATGAGAGACAGAGAGGCCGGATGAGAGAGAGGGAGACAATTGCTAATCCAGTGATCTGCAGCTCCTTGGTAGTGACATACTCAGTGAACCGATTGGCCCGGTCTAATCCCACTATCTGCTGACACTGGCAGAAATATTATTAGGTCACCAAGCAAGACAAATTAGACTGAGTGAAGAGGAGTTCAAGGACCAATAAATACCAAGAATGAGTGCACACATTTATTTGAATTATTGTCACTCAAAATAAACAGACGTTATGTCTATGTTTTTTATTGTTTCGTTAATTTATCTATTGTCTTGGACAAAAAAAAATGTTTAAATGCTGCAACAAACAATGTAGCAACTACTACAAGACATACACATTTAAAGTAATAACCAGTTTTTCACTTCCAAGTCATGAAAAATTCAAAAAGCTCAATATATTTAATGCAGATTCCTCATGGAGGAAATGGGTAACTTTCAATAACGCTAGACGCACTTAAACGCGCCCCGGAGCGTATTTTTACGCTGTCAAAGCTCGGTTACTGTACCTGAACGCACCTTGTGTCTGCTCTGCTAATGTGCTGCTGATGCGTCTCCTCCTGCGCTGACACGGCGTAAGCTCGGTGAGACTTCATACGAGCTTGCCAGAGATGTAACTAATAACATGAACGATATTCCATTACAGTAAGCCGTGACAGCAGGCACAATAACCCGAGTCCTTCCTCTAAAAGAATCCCTCTACACCTCTAATCACTTCATTAACTTCACCTGTTTGTTTCATGCTATGATATCAAAATGAGTATTGTATTTCTTTTAGGCAAACCCACTACTTTGCCTGCCTTTAGACGTACCAGTTGTGTCGGTTACACAGTGTTTGACCACTCAGGGAAGGAAACGCACAGGTGTTACTAATAACATTGATTGTGGTTGTATTCTATTCAAGCATCACCAGTAAGCCTGCAACAGTGAGCCAGCCGGCACAACAACAGGACCCTGCAACCAAAGCAGCAACACGGAGTTCAGTCGTCAATCATTGTATTATTTCCACCTGTGCTTTTGTTACTGCGACATATTACGATGTCTTTTGTGGAAAAAAGTCTTATGTGCTGACCTCTCCGAAAAACAACCGATGCTGACACCGCAGGCTGAGATCATAACTGGAGAGAGGCGTGTTTGACTTTGGCAGTGACCCACAGACGGTCTTTGGTATTTTTGTTTCCCCTTGTATACTTTTATCGCTTTCTAGCAGTGGGGGGGCGGTACGGGAAAAACAATTTGATTGGCAAGGACCCCGTCTGATGGAAGGAGTACAGGATGGACACAGTGTACAATACAAGAGGCGCCTGTCCCCGGGCGCCTGGCATTGGCAGCCCACTGCTCCCTATATACAGGGATGGGTCAAATGCAGAGACAAATTTCCCCCTTAAAGGGATCAATATAGTATAATAAATTAAATTAAATTAAATTAAATTAAAGAGGGAACTGAACTGTTTCCATTGCACGACAGTGTATCAAGGAGCGTAGCATAGAAACCTAGAGTATCTATCCACTCAAAAGGTGGCTGCTGAAGGCGTTGCAAGGACAGCAGTGCAGTCGGTGTCTTCGTGGGAGCGTGACAGTGATAAGGAGTCAAGTTGAAGCAGGTAATTACAGAGGCGCTGCTTTCAAAGGAAAGACGAAGATGAGGAGGAAGACGTAAGGACACCGAGTCCAGCAGCAGATGGTGGAGGGGCCTCTGTAAACCACGAGGCAATTGTAAAACCCTGAACTGTAAAACAGATTGTGGGAAAAAGCCTTAAGAGCGCCTGGCGACGTTGTTAAATAACCTAAGTGGTGCGGTATTAAGTTAAAGGCCAATATATCGTCACTCATCTTGATCAAAGTCGGTGAACTCAAGGTGCTGCGTGAGAGCTAGCTTGAGGGCTAACTGGCAGAAGGAAAGAAAGATGGGGACAGCAAAAAAAAAAAAAAAAAAAAAAAAAAACGGATTAGTTTTCAAGAGAGGACTTTCACAGTCACTCTAATCCTGGTCATCTTTGTGGTTGGAGTAAGAATGGATGTGTGCAGCGCAGTCTACCATTCCCTCCTCTGATTACCACTCTAATTGGTCTGTTTGGGAGACAACCATCCCATAATAGCCTGCCTGTGGTCTAAAAAGAGACAGTTTCCCAGTGTTGTTCCCATGACAGCACAGAGTGCATTGGACAGGTTTCAGGGAGTAAGTGAGGGAGGTAGGAGTGCGGGAGTGTGGAAGCTACATGGCTGAGGTTTGTCCTTTCAGTGTGAAGCGGCATGCTTTTCTCTTCTGTATAGTGAACAGGATGTATTTGGGGTTTGGACTGTTGGTCGAACAAGCCATCAAAATACAGTGCATCACCTTGGGCTGTAAAGTTTAACAGACAAAAGCATTAATAAATGAATGAACAACATTATGCCATAATGCATGGAAATGATTGAGTTGCAGCCCTATTGTGTTTTACATCACTGTAAACGTAATGCATGCAATTTTGATTAAAAAAAATATATTTCCTCTGAAAAAAACATTTTTGTTCTTTTTTTTTTAAATGATCCTTATTCCCTATTTATTCAGGATTCAACACCGCGCTCCCCGTTATTCTTGGCTGAGCTCAGGAACTCTGTGCTCGGAGTAATCCGGCCATAATTAGAGAGTGCCACGGCCAGTTGTTAGGGAAACCAAAGAGAAACTCTCGAGGAATGTCTCCTTCGTTACGAGCAGAGCCGTCTCCTACTTTCCTCTTTTGTCTGATTTGCTTGTAAAACTGCATTTTTTTTATCATTTTCTTTGATTCAGTGTCTCTTAACCCTGTCTGTAGCAATATAAATGGGACAAAAATCATGTAAATATGGTCCTAACGACAGAAAACCATTGACAGAACATAACACCGATGAGGTGACGTAATCACACCTTCTTTTGATTGTTATTATGATATTTATGTAGCTGATTTAAGACTGGATGACACTGTACATAAGGAGATACAGCTGTTCTGCTCTTCTCTGCAGGACAAAGTTTATATAAAGAAGCAGGTCTGAGTAAAGTTTCAGTCCAGACTGCCGTCTAATTTACAGAATCAGTTATCTGATGCTTCAGAATACTTCAGAGTTGCTTCCATCGATAGCCTGGCACTGTTTTGTGGTAATGACTGAATTAACATCTGGAACCAAAGGACAGATGTTGTGCTTGTTTGTTGACAAAGACCCCGCAGATAAATATCCTTTTGTGTCTGGTCTGTGTTTCCTTAGCAGCAACTCCAGACAAAAACACACACACACACAAATATATCCACAACCAACCCTCATTGCAGAAAGGTCAACTATTGACTCTACCGGTTTGTAAAATAGAGAGAAAGCAGTCACTGAGGCTAGACACCTGGCCACATGATCACGAACAGCACTGTGGCTCACTCTGTGTGTGTGTGTGTGTTGTGTGTGTGTGTGTGTGACAATCTTGAAGGTTTTATGAAAGTCACTTTCAAAACTTTCAACCCTTATTAACATTCCCAGCAGTCCACTCTGTGTCACAGACACTGCGCTTCAAATAAAAGGGGATGTAATGAGAGAAAATCTGTTTTGTTGTATGTACTTTAGTAATAAAGTTTTAGCACAGAAAACGTGCTTGCTCAAAGTTTGTTACACGGTTACACACGCGCTATATTACCTTTATTTGACTCACAGCACTCCCCTCCAACCGCTCCTTTCGAAAATGTTACCATGCAGTTATTATTTCATAGATCATTTCTGCATAGTCCGTGGGTGTTGTGTCTGAATTATCCTAGTTGACTGACTAACAAAGACGTGGAGGCACGCTAATACAACGTAACCAGTGTCGTGTTGATTAGTAATTTCCAAAATGTCAAAATATTAAAACAGAGATGCGTCATTCTGACAAGTTTTAACAATATCTGATGCGTGGTGTCGAAGACATGACTTGACAGAAAGGCAAACAGATAAACTGCACCCACGGGCAACTGTCAAACAAACATTCATAAGTAGGGCTGAAACAATCTGTCAATTAATAACAACTGTTTCACTCATTTTTCAAGCAAAAATGCCAAATATATATTTGCTTTCAACTTCTCAAAAGTGAGGATTTAATGCTTTTGAATAATCGTAATGGGCCTCCTTCACTATTTTCTGACGAGCAATATATTGACAATGAAATAATAATACAATGTTTTAGGAGAGTTTAAAGAGAGAAAGTTTGCAAATGAGTGGGAACATGGTTACGACATGAACACCAAATATGCAAATAAGGGGTAAAGTGACACTGTTACACAAATCCATCTCCCCACACAACACCTTCATGGTGCATCTGTGTGCTGGTTTCTTCCATGTGGTCTCCTGTCTGTGTATACATGTGGTTCTGCATCCACATGGCAAGTTTAAACCAAAGCCTTGCATGCATGCATGCATTTTTTCTCTCTCTCTCTCTCTTCTCTCTCTTCTCTCCTCTCTCTCTCTTCTCTCCTCTCCTCTCCTCTGTCCACATCTGATGAGGCTCCTTTCAGTCTGTACATTCCAGCCACAGCAGCTCAATGACCCGAGCCAGGAATGAGGCTTGGAACCGGGCTCTGGCTGCAACCGTGGCCGGGGTCTTGAGCTTTAAATCAGTGAAAGCTGGCTGGTCAAGTTCCGCCTGCCTGACTCCTCCTCGGTAAGCAAAGCCCTGAGCTGGCGGCTCCCTGTTATTCTCCCAGTTGTCTGTCCCTCCAGCCGCTCCCTCCCTCTTTCTCCTGACAGCCTTTCAAGGACAGACTTGCACAGCTGACCTCCCTCCCTCCTCCCCTCCTCCATGTTTGCCGGTGTCCTACCTTGAGTGCAGCCTCTTGCTGGCCAGGTCCTGGTCCACACCGTTAGCAGCCGACTGAGCCATAGAACCGCTGCTAGCCTGCCCGCCTCCTAGCTTGCTTCCTCCCGCTATGAGGGCCGCCTTACAATGATTTCCTCCAGAGACAGCTACCCTTTCCTTCTTTCTCTCGTTCCGCTTCTCTGTCACTCCCTCCTTCCCTCCTCCCCCCCCCTGCTCCTGGTCTCCAACACTGTTTTCTTTCTCCCTCCCCTCTTCCCTCATTCACCACAGCAATGAAAAGCTGCTCAGGAAGTGAGCTATTGTGCAAATAAACCGTAAAATCACACGAGCCCCGCCCCCCGAAATTACGTCACAGGCCGGGGAGTTGCTTTGCTTGGCTGGTGAGCGAGGCCAAACTATGTACCGCGTGTGGAAACACATTTCATGCACAGACACATTCAAAATAACTTTATTGTCTCGATGTTTTGTTGCTGCTGCCTCTCCTCCAAAAATGTTTTTCCTCTGACGACGTCACAGAGCAGATGGGTGTGGTCAGAAGGTTCACCTGTGCCCAAGCTCAGCAGTGACGTCAATACGATCTCTGTTCAGGTGCTGAGTCTTTATACCTGGCACTCCCACCAGGCTCAGGTGTGTCCCATCAGCTGACGAGCAACAACCTGAAAGACAAAAAGAGACAAACAGGACACAGACCCCTAGTGGAAGGGAGGGGTCATCACACTCCAGCAGGTTGCTAAAACCCTTGGATTTCCAGAAGAGAATACCTGTCTAAACTCCAGTCGGATCATAACATTAATTCTGTTGCATTGCTCTGTTACGAACTGTCATGTTATTCCACATTCTGCCACTCCTTTCCTTCAGTGACCCCTTTCCTGCTGTTTTCACCGCCTGATCTTCCCCACCCAGTTATTCACCTGCTTCCCATTTCTCCTAATCAACACAGTGGGTTCATTTCCATAAGACCTCCTCCAGATTGTCTAGTCTGTACCCGCCCTGGCTTTCCATCCTTGATTTTTTCATTTAGCCTGTCTGAACCTGCCTGCCGAAATCCCTGTCTGTTTCTCGGATTGGTGATTCTTCGTCTTTTTCGGATTGGTCGCCGGTTTGTAAGTCTGACTGGTGCCTTTGGGTTGAAGTTTGTTCTGAGCCATAGTCGTTACAGTACCTGGGACATGACTCATGATTGTGTCATTATTTTTTGAAGCCCCTAAAGACCTGTTTTCAAATCTTAACTATTTATCTGACAAACCATATAACTTATTTTTTTTAATTGTTTCAAATGAGGAAAGAGCGAATGAGGAAAAAGTGCTGAACTTCCTACTGTATCTTACTTGCTTCATATGTCACACCACTTTACTAGCTCTATGACAGGCATCTACCATGTCAGCTTTACAGAGCCTTGGAAGAACACTTACCGTAACAACAGATTTACTCCTAGTTTTACCCTTTCCTAGTTTAGATTGCCATTGAGTTGGTTTAAAAGCCCTACACATGCATGCTGTCATACATATGCACCATTATGTGAAGGAGCAGTCCACCCTGTTGTCCATAGTGACAGACAATTTGCATATCAAGATGCTACCAAGCTATATTGGTAAACAGTGTTTATGTGAAACACATGAATATATTAAATATATGCTTTAGGTCAGGGTTTCACCACTTTTTTGACTTGTAAACCCTTAAAATGAAGCAGAGTCCACTTAAAACCCTTTGCAAGTAGACAGTTGCATGTCTGGTTATGCATAAGTCAACCAAATAAATTACAATTATTTAAGTCATTATTAGATGCCTAAAGACAAAGATATATAATCCAGTAATTTACAAGAAAAAAAAGGAATTGCTCTCGTTCTCTAGGTTTATAATCAGGTCCATTTAAGTCCATCCTTCATTAGTTATACCTGAGCTGAAATAAAAAGTTTGTTGCTTTTCTGTTCTTACATCATACTGTATATTCCACTTGTGCCAGGCAGGCATACAGTCTGTTCACTAGATACCTTCTCTGAACTATGGCTGCCCATGTATAATGTATCTAGTCATAGTAAAATCATTGGCATGGTCCTGTTTCACACATTTGTTTATATCTCTTAAACATGCACAAAATGCACACGCTGCTTTCATTAATATTTGTATTTCTTAAATAAATTGTATTACTTGATAGTTACTTTAATATTAATAGAGGATTATCCATTTATTGTCATATTTATTTATAACATTGCCATATGGAGCTTGTTACTCACACATTAAATGCTAAATATACATATTACATAATACTAGTTTCAATAAAGGCTTATTATCGTATAATGAAGAGGTCTCTGCAGTATCTGAGGCTCACCATAAGAGAGCAGCATTGCACTAGTGAACAACAAGCCTAAAAGAGCAACTTCAGTTTCCCATGCTGTAGCATCTCAGAGACATGGGAGTTCATGACAGGAACGACACGGAGTGGACACAATAACACGAACACCTAACAGTAAAACAGGAAATAATTTGATGGCCATGCAAAAATACAATCTTTGCAATCCTTACAATGTTAAGTTTGTGTTGAGGCTCAATTTTATTTCAACTCTTTATGAGGACTTCTTAAATAAGATATTAAATCAGCTAGATTGTCATCTTTTAAAGTATTGAATATTTCTTTTATTGTAATTTTTTCCTGATGCTTGGCACTTAGTTATCAGTTTTGATAGATTATTGTCATTGTGTCAAATGCAGGTCTACTGTACATGTGATGTAAGAAATATTATGAAAGAAAACAACTGTAACTCTCCTAAAGCCACATTTTTTTATACAATGTATATAGCTCTGTTTTATTTTTCATGTTTTTTCCATCCATCCCATAATATCACTGGCATAAGCTATTTCTATGATTACATTTAGAAAATATAGATAAAATGGTATTATTATACTCATCATTTTGGATATATATTAACGAAATGACTGTATTGTCAAATTAATGTTTTATCAAATGTCTTTATTATTCAGAGCTTCTGCTTTGACAAACTAAGGATTATAATAAAAATGTTCCTCGAGCACAAACGACCAGCTACTAGTCTTCAGTGCACTGTATGTTTATCCTGTGTTTGTTGTTGGTGCTTTTACATTATTGCAATGGAAACCACTTATTTTAATGAAACCCGACTTGTACATTTGACATAATAAGCTCCTCAAATCAGCTACTTCATACTCTTATATGCTTTTGTTTTCTCTGAAAAAAATGTTTTTGGTCTCTTATACGTTTTGTTGTGTTTTCGCCTTAATCCTTTGGCCGTATATCTCTGTTGGATCTTGTGCATGGCAGCGGCTCATTACAGACAACAAGGAGCAACAAAAGCAAAATGAGATTGAGGTAAGCTGATTTCAGATTTAAACTGAGCAACTCAAATTTGTTTCTCGTTTGTGAGGCAGCCCATTTTACAAAAACAAAACCATCTGCCTGCATCTATTACGTACTCTTGAGAATGTTGTATTGTTTTTCACAGGGTTATAGTAACTTTAGTCAGTACGTATGAAAGGGACATGCATTTTCCTGACTCCATCGATACATTACTCCAAAATACATCATAGTACTGTTTCATCAATGTTCCTAAAAGCCAAACACGTGTGGGTTTAATTACATAATCCACCATGTGTCACAATGGTCACATTTTTATTGTCTTTGATACTTTTATAAACAATTTTGACACAATTTGATCTTGAGAAAATTATTTCTAAAGCACCTTAAACAGTGATGAGGCTATCTTAGCATTCCCACCTTTCAAAAACATCAAAGATTAGTTTTACATATTTTTCTTGTTTCTGATTGGTTGTTCGATTGTTACCATTAGGAGCCGTAGGTGGTCTTCAGCAGCTGGGGATTAGTTTGTGCCAGCTTCTCATCTGATGCTCCCCTGCTGTTGGTGTCCTTGAGCGACCAGGCAATCCTCACTGTGGTGCTGCTGATAATCCGGAGGTGGAAACATCTTTATCACAGCTCCAACTGCACAAGCACTAATTATACCGGTAACACTGCACCAGCACAACCAGGAGGACAAACTATTGCTGTTGTTGATCATGGCCTGAACACCCTTTGCCAAAATATATTAAAGATAGTTTTTACCAGAAACAGGGGCCTATTTACAATGCTTATATCATCGGCCACAAAGGAGATAAAGAATGTATCTAGTAAGACAATTGTGTTTCTGCTGGGAACATGTAGGTGGAAAAAATAAGGAGGATTCTGCCTAAACACTAATGGGATATTTTAAGTTTTTTTGTTTGACTTTAGCCAGTTAAAGCAGCAAGCTATTGGTAAATACTTTCTGAGAATATTTGTATTCTAATCCTAAAAAAAAATGCTATTTAGATTATTGGCATGATTATGGTCATAGTATGCATCCCTGATAAAAGGGATTCCACGAAAGACTGAAAAAGAAAGTGAAGTAAAAAGCACCAGTTCTCCATTGATTGTGACATCTGTGCTGTATGCCATTTCAAAGGGATAGGGAAGCATTCCTGAGTTGCAAAAGCTCAAGTGTGCATCATCTGCATCATGTGAAAATGTGTGATGCCACTTGTTGCACTATGTTACACAAGTTATGGTTACGTTAACTCATGAAAGGTGAATAACTGGTGGCTTGCCAATTCAACATGTTTAGCTTTGTGCTCAGGAAATAGAAGGTTTTGTCAGGAAGTTACAGGTCAACATAATGTTTTTGCCAGAATGAATTGAAGGTCCAAACATGAAGTGAGGCAAATGCGAAATACTAACTTGAAAAAGTTTATTTTCAAATGGAATTAAGGTAAACATAAAAGTAAAACAGATAAAGAGTGTCAGACCAGTCAGAAAAGGGTTTTTAGTTTATAAGACAACAAACATGTGAATCACACAATGGGGCTGCAATTACACCAGAAAGGCATAAATACTGTGAGGTAAACAGAAACCAGCTTAAACAGATAAATAAAAAGATGGAAGTTGATTGTAAACAAGGAGTTCGGCATTTATGAATGCATGCTGGTAAAAAATAGAATACATACTTATAGCTTTTGTCTCTGCCCCAGTAAGTTCCAAACACAGCTTATTTTGCAGTAGGTGTAAAGTGTGACCTTCTGTGCAGGCTGCTACATATCTAAAGCTCGGGTTTATCATATAGTCTATAGATTAAGCCTGTTTAAGACCACCTGACCTCCCATGTGAGGCAGTCTGAAGATTACTTTCAATCTGTGCCCTCATTGATTTAATCAGATTTGCAGTGTTCTCAAGACATCTTTTCAATTTATATTTTTATTATTTTTTGTTATTAT